TGCAGCGAGATGCTTTATGTCTGGAGGAAGTCTGCTCCCCTGGCTCCTATTTTTACTTCTGTTCATCTGTGTAGGGTCTAGGGCTTGGTTTCCTCAGCTCTGTGCTAAGTACTTGGGAAACAATGAGGAGGCACAAGTGAAACTGGCAGCACCTGAAAGCAGAGAAGCAAAGCAGACACAGCTTCCCTCACTGGTTTGTCTGGGATATTTTGGGCTTGGTTCTTATCTCTCCCTAAGGTTCACACAAGCCATTGAAACCCAGGTCCAGCCCTGCACATCCTGTCTGTCTACTTTTCACCATGTCTCAGGGGACAGGAACACATCAGGATCCTCTGGTGTAACCCAGAACTCCTTCCCAGTATGGTCTGGTTGACCTTTACAATGCTGAACACACCAGTTGTGCTGACAGTGGAACGAATTGCTTCATGCAGAGAGGTCCTGTCTCCCAAAGTAACCCCAGAGACAGGATGTCACAACAATCTCCAGCTCCTAAAAGGGCTGGGAATGGCTTTTCAGCTTCCCCTTAAATATGCAGTGTGATCATTTGTGCCAGTAGATCAGGTCAAAGCCTCAGTTTCCAGAACCTCACCAGAATATGCTGAAACACTATGGGAAAAGCAACAGGACTCTGTTTCCCCTTTCTCCTCCCCAAAAGCCAGTCCCAAGGAGTTGCCCTCAGTGGCATGAAAGGTTGGCCATGGACACTGTGCCTACAGGAAATCCTCAATAGCCTTTGATTGCATCCTGCTTGGTCCCATGCCCAGGAGGTGCCAGGGATTTGGGAAGGGCTCAGTAGACTCAGACTTTCTGCACAGCAGATCCTAAGGGCAGCTGCATTCCCTAGTTCTCTCCTGCAGAACCTGGATACAGCTCCCTTCACACTCTTGGCCACCTGCCCTGTCTGTTCCCACACCAGGCAACACTTTCTCTGCAGTTTTCAGTGTCACCTAGAAGCATCTTCCTTAGTGGGGCTGGAAATAGCTAATCTTTATGGTCTCTTCCAACCCAAGCCATTCTAGGATTCCTTAGGCAGTTCTCACTGCTTCACTGGAGAGAGACAAGGTGGGTGCAAGGGCTGGGAAGGTGTGATTATCCCTTTATTACCCACAGGAGGTGCTTGCCAGGATGGGCAGAGCAGTCAGACACAATGATATTGGCATTGCAACACTTCACAAAGGCTTTATCACACTTCAGCAGCTCCTGCTGGCGCCACACAGACAGCAAAGTGTTGACAAAAGAGTAATTTTAGCACCTTGGCTCATTACCTGCTGCTGAAGAGCAGGAGAAGAACAGCACTTTCAGGTGAGAGGGAGGAATTAACCCTCCTGTTCATCACCACATCGCTGCTGCCAAGGAGGTACAGAGCCAGAACCTCTGCAAAATGCTCTGGTAGCTGCAGACAACTCCCTGAAATCTCCTCAGCTGTCATGGCTCAACAGGCAACTCAGAGTTGAGATGCTCTTGAAGGGCCAGGGCCCCTTCCAGTAACTCCCAGTCATCCTACTGAATGCAAGAATGTCCTGAGTAAACATCCTTGTGCTCCTCCTTTTGCTCCTCCTTGCAGCTGGCTCAGGAAAGAGGAGTCCTTAGCCCTGGCTTTGGGGAAGGGAGCCAAGGACAGGTCTCCTGCAAAGCCAGAATTCCTGGAGCACAACTTCAGGTTGCATTTCATGTGGTGTAACTAGAGTAGATGGTCAGTGTCCCTCGTCCTGCCCTCCCTGCTCCCTGTGACAGTGCTGTGAGGGCAGGGAGGAGCTGGTTTGGAGAGCTGACAGAGATTTAGTTGCTTCTGGCACCCCAGGGCACCCACCCACAGCATGGGCTGGTCTGACTGTCCTGCTTGCCCACACCAACACCAGTGTTTCCATGAACTCATGCCCTGGCAGAGAGAGGAGATGCAAAGCACAGCAGCACAGCCCTTGCATCACTGAGCATCCAACGAGGACCACTCAGGGCTCTTCTCTGGAAAAGTGGCTCTTTTGTTGGGCTGATAAATGTCTCTGGTTTTCCCCCTGGGAGTAGGGATGGGCAATGGGGTGTAGATCCTTGCCTTGGGCTGCCACCACACAACCTGGGAGCAGTGCCCAGCCTGCCCTGGCATTGCTCTAACAATCCCACTGAGGGATTATTCCCACCAACAGCTCAGCTCTGTGGGATGTGGGTTCCTATTCAGCTGCAGGAGGTGCTCGGGCTAAGGTCAGAGGGAAAGCAGTGACAGCCTGTTTGGGAGGTGATTTCTGGCACTTACACATAATGTGTGCATTGTGCCAGGACACACTGATCCCTCTGAGTTTCCTTTCGGGAAACAACACTATATTTTCCAGCTATAGATCATAGGATCATACCATCCCATACTCCCTCCCTCTTTGCATTCTTCAGCCCCCACCAGCCAAAGAGAATCAGATCTGGCCAAAACTCCATGGAGAGACCAATGGCCCTGCCTAGGTGGAGGGATCCAAGCCAGAATCCATGCCCAGGGTCACGGCTGGAGCCTGCAGGATGGTTAGAATCACTCCAGAGGGCAGGAATGTCCCAGGCGCTCAGCCCCACAGCCCCATCTGGAGGTTTGGGCACATCGGGAGCTGCTGCTCCTCCAGGCACACAACCAGCTCCAAACAATACATGAAATCAGGGAAAATTCCATCCTGGAAGATGACAAAGAGCTCAAGGGGGGACCAAACCCGAAGTCAGTGCCCCAGGCGAGTGCCAAGGGAGGATTCCCAGCACAGGGAGCAGTCTGTGCCCCTTTCCACAGGCTCTTACACACCAGGAGGCTCAGCTGACAGAGCCCTTGGCAGGCACTCCCTGATTATTCCTTCTTTAATCACTTCCATTCATTCTAACCAAGTTCTCCAGCAGAGCTGGAAACAATCACCAGTGACCAGTTAGCTCAGCGAGAGAGAGAGAGAGGGAGGTGAAGGAAGACAGTGGAAGCTTCCCCGAAGACATTCCAGTTACAACAAAGCAGTTAGCAACACAAATGGACAGAGCACAAGGAATTGTCCAGAACATATGTCACTGGAGTTCTATTACCAGGCAGCTCCTGCCAAATGAGCCTGGAGAGTTAGCCACAGTAAAACTGAGCACGTGGAGTATGAAAGTGCCTGTGATGAGATGGAGAGCAATAAACACATCCTCTCATGGTATGTGCAGCAGGTTCCAGCTCCCTTTCCTCTCCCCTCCCTCACAGGAGGAATGTAGCATCCTTCCAATAAATTCCATGTTGTCCTTGGCTCCACAATATGATCTTCCTGATTTCAGCTCAGCTTGACAGATGGTTTGTGTTTGCACAAATACCCCCAATAACTGAAGGCATCAGAGGACTGAGACATGGCATCTTCCTCCTGATCCCAGTGCCTTTGGGTCTGGGTTGGCAGAGGAGCAGGGAATCTCAGATAAACCTGACCAAAGGCTCATGGAGTGGAAATGGATTTTAGTATCTTCTGAGGTGCTGCAGTACCAGGTTAGTGCCATGGCTTGGAGCATGGGAAATGAAATCCAGGCATAGCTGGACTTTAAAAACCCCAGTTAAAACACATTTCTCCCCGTGCCCTGCAGCACCTGGCTGTGCTCTGGGCTCTGTGCTGGTGTGGCAGCTCTCAGGACAAAGCTCTGCCTGTGGCAGTGCAGGGGGTGAAGGCATCACCCACATCTGTGGGCACAGTCCCTGCCTGGCACACCAGCCCTGCAGACAGAGGCTGGCACAGCTGCCCTCAGGATGTGATCCAAGGCTGAGGATATTGAGGATGGCTCTGTGCTCTCTACAGGAAATTTAGGATCAAACCAGCTTCACCTCAGAGCTCCAGCACTCCTGGGAATGCCTTGCTGGGAGTTCTGCCCGTGCCAGGACACCTTGAGGAGCAGCCTGAGGTGTCCAACGTAAAGTCTGTTCTGCTGCTTTCAGGTGGATTCATTTCCCCTTTGTTATGAAAGTAAAATATCAAATTGGATCGATTTTTGCTTCCTTAGGAAGGCTGTAGCAAATAACTCTCAATTTGTTCTGCAGGAGCAGCCGTGGGGATGGTTGACTGCAATATTTGCACCACAGCTAGGCTGGAGAACACATCCCTTGTAAGAGCAGTTGGATTAAACACCAGGTGAGCAAAAAAGAGCTCATATCAGATATCTGTACCCAGTGAGCAGACACTGCCTCCAGGCAAAACCTTGTTATCCTCTAGCACGATATCTCCTTTCCATGGAACAGAACTTTCTTGTTTTGCCTCACTCCTGTCAGAACTGACAAGTAATTTTCTCCTCCTTTTTGTTTTTTTCCTCTTCAATTCTCTTTCACCTGTAGCCACCCCTGGTGATTTCTCTGGGTGGTACCAAGGCCATGCAGGGCAAGTAGGCTGGAAAAATCAATCCTTGGAAAGAAAACTAAAATTGCCTTAACCTCCCAATGCTATTTAGTGTGGTACAACAGGTACAGTGTGGCTGGTTCTGCTGCTTTGAGACAGAACAGAGAGCAACTCCCTCAGGGCAGATTTGGCATGATCTTTATTTCTACAGAACACTGGAAATGGTTATACTGGGGAGACAGGGAACAGCTTCCAGTGGGAATACACAGCCTGCAGTGATCAGCAGCACACAGACCCACTCACAACACCACAGACAGCCACTGCCCCAACCCTGGCAGTGTTCACAGCCAGGTGGGATAAAGCCTTGAGCAACTTGCTTTGGTGGGAGGTGTCCCTGCCCAGGGCAGGAGGGGCTGGATGATTTTTAAGCTCCATTCCAACCCCTAAACACATCCTATGATACTATGATACAGACACCCACAGGGCTTCAAAAGGATGAAGCTGCCACACCTCTCCCCCACACTGTGCTTCACTCAGCTGCAATTCTTGGCACGACAGAGGATCTGTGCTATCACCTCACTGAAATCAAGAGGGAGCCCCAGGGAGCACCAGCTCAGGCCCTGTGGGAGCTGTGCAGAGTCACAGGAGGGAACACAACGAGGAGGGACAGGGCAGGGAGAGGACAGTGCTGGTGCTGCAAACTCACACCCAGGCCTTGACCTGAGTGTTGCAGCCCCTGGCACAGCCACACAGACCTCCCTCCTCATAGTGGCACCACCTGCCCCCCTTGTAGACAGCCAAGCTGTAGGGCTGGAAGCACATGAAGAGACGCAGGCGCCGTGCCAGGCTGCAGTAGATAGCCATGGCCATCACGATCAGGGGGGACATGATGACAAAGCCAAGGATGATGAGGGCAGAAGAGCTGTTATCATCCAAGAAACTCTTGCAGTAGCGAGCAGAGGAATGCAGCACCTATGGGAGGAAGGAGACAGAGCTGAGAATCATCGGATTGTTAAGGGTGGAAGAGACCTCCAAATCAACAAGTTCAACCGTTATGGCTTTGAGATGAGACAGGGCAGATTCAGAGCAGATGTTAGGAAAACTTTTGTCACTGTTAAGGTGCTCAGACACTGGAATATTGCCCAGGGAGATGGTGGAGTCACCATCCCTGGAGGTGTTTAAGAGGCACCTGATATGGCTCTGGAGGATCTGGTTTAGGGGTTCCAGCAGTGACAGGTGAATGGTTGGACTTGATGATCTTAGAGGTTTCCTCCAGCCCTGATGGTTCTATGATTAACTCACATTGATAGGTCCACCCCTAAACCATGTCCCCAAGCACCACATCTACAGCTTGTCATGGGCCTGGTGGTGGACAGGAGCAGTGGCCAAAGCACCCTTGAATTTCCAGTGCTTTCACAGAGAGACACATCTTCCCTCTCTCCCTGCTGAGCTCAGCAATCTTCAGGCTCTGTGTGACTGATGCCACATCTAAATGAAGACTTCAATTACTCCAGCATCACTGGGAGACAAGCACACTGCACACTGATCCTGACAACCTTTATTGAACCATCAAACAGCAGCTGACAGGCAGAAACTGAACAAAAAGGCCTCCTGGTGCTACATTGGTGTGGGTGGCACAACACACTGGAAATTATAGATAAGTAAATAAAAATACAGTGAGATGTTAGATTCTGCAGGCAGAGGATGGTCATTCCATAGCCAACTGCTGGCTGGAGACCCTTCCCCTGAACAGACCCTTTGTGTTCTGCCCTCTGTGTACACACTGGACTCATTTCTACCTCTAAGCATCTCTCTGCACTGCAAAACCTGCCAGGAAAAAAACATTCACTCCATGGTGCTGCAAAGCAAAGGCTAACTGGGCCTTGCTGAGGGGTATTTCAAGCCCTCCTTTCATGCTGGCAGCAGGAGAGTTGAGTCAAGCCACTTTGTTGTTGTGCACTAACAAATGCTTCAGGCAGCCCCTACATCCTTCAGACTTCCTTTCCTTTCCCCCTATTCTTTCAGCAGTAAAAGCAACACAGCCCATCATACTAAAAGCCAACAATAAATGCATCTAATGGCCCTGCAGTGCAGAAATCAGCCTCTGGCTGCTGGAAAGGCACTGAAAAGCCACGGCCCAAGGACAAAGGGCTGCTCTTGTGAGGCTGTGTGTGTTAAAGGAAGGGCTGTGCTAAAAGGCTCCTCATGGAGCAACACAGAGTCCTTCATTTCTGTCTACTTGGCTGCACTTAAACCCCTTTTGCATCTCCTCAAAGCCTTTGGCTGTGTGTGCAAAGGAGAAGTTGAGATTTTCCAAGGTGAGCGAGGCTGGAAGGGGCAATTCTGGGAGGCAGTCCTCAGATTTTTTCCCATTTTCAGCCCAATTTGAAGTCTGTATTTATGACTTATGAACAGTCCTATTGAGCTGCTCTAACAGCTAATGCCTGTGAGGAGAACAGCATTGCTTTTTCACATCCATGGTTAGTCAAGTGATCCCCAAAATATTTATAGAAGCAATTTATAAGGAAAGAAATAATGCAAAAAGCAAACAGCAGGAACAGCCATGCACACAGCAGAGTCCTTAAGGACAAAGGAGGCTCATTTATTGGTGTGAGAAAGTGCACAGCACGTTTGGGAGCACATCTGAATGCTAGATTGGCATAAGAAGGGGATTAGATATTCCCTCAGACTTTACTAATTCTATCATTAGGCATCAGGAAGATCCAGTATGAGAAACTTACTTAAATGGCAAGAACAAACCCATGGAGGACTGTGAATTACAGAGGAGTTCAGGTTGGCAGCTCTCAGTAACACAAGCCACAGAGAAGAGAGAAATATTGTGACATCAAAATGCAAACAGCAACTCCATCAAGCCAAGGAGTGTGTTCACCTGAACTGGCACAGCTACTTGGTATTTCCATGGGAACACAACTTTATTGCCCCATCAAGCTGCCTGTTCTCATCAGCCCAGACCATCCACCTACCCCTCTTGTGAACAAATCTGTGCAGCCACACACCCCTTGTGAAAACAAAGCCAAAGCTCAGGGAGTTTTGGCTTTACAGCCACTGCTGGCCACAAGCTCAAATAAACCCTCTGCACTGGCTCTGCCTTGGAGGTGACTGGTCCCAGCCACAGGCAACGAGGCTTTCTTACCTGGGAGTGGCACTGGAAGCCAAAGTAAACCACCACAATGGTAGGGAGCAGCACAATGGTGAAAATAACAAACATCAGGAGCAAATTCATGAGCAAGACCAAGGAGTTCATGGTGCCTATGGCCAGGGCCCACGCCAGGCAGCACCAGGCGCTCCGAGGCTCCCTGGGAAGGAGCTGGTCATCCATGTCATATGGGGGGAGGCTAGGGATCATCCGAGACCTTTCAGAGAGGTTTTCTGCTCCAAAGTCCTCAGTGTCCTGGGCAGACATGCTTCAGGAACACCAACCAGCTCGTATCCAAACTGATTCCTTTGCTTTTGTCGACAAACTTCAGGAGCAATTTCCAGAGGCTTTTCCTGCTTCTTCCACACGTGGACAAGAGTTCTTAACCAGAGATCATAATGGAGCAAGGAAGGAAATGTCTCTTTGGGTCACCTGCTTTCCCTGGCCAGCACAGGTTGTTTGCTTCAGATGGTTTTCCAGCAGTGTCCCAACCTCAGCTCCCAAGTCGATCTTGCTGCTGGAAGCTTGGCAGTAGCTATGACTGGTTCAGAATCTAGAGTCCTACTGAATTTGTTGTTGTTCTTCCTATGATCCCAAGAGGTCCCAAACTGTCTTGGCTGTGACAGGCTGCTTGGTTCCAGAGAGTGACTGGTTCCAGTATCCTCCTCCACCTTTGAGCACTGCTGGTTGTGAAGAATACCAAGCTTAGGCTCTCTCAGACAGCTCCTTGTCTTCAAATCACCTTTCCATGCTCTTCACCCTGTGCCCAAGTAAATATTCCAGCTCAAGCCTCATCCAGATGAGGTGAGAGAGAGAGCAGGAGCTGTTAGCCCACACAGATGTGTGGAAGCAGAGGTGGGAGCAGTGTGTGGTCACTGCTGCTGCAGCCACAGCCGCTCAGCCCCAGGCTGTGGCGTCCCCTCTGAGCCAGCTCTCAGCTTTGCAACGCTGCTCTGTTTACAGAACGGGCTCAGGAGCTGCTCTCAGTGCTGGCCAATCCTTCACATCTGCCTCACCAGGGATGGGATTTAGCACAGAGCACCCCAGAGCCACACTCCGACCCTCCACTCCCAGCTCAAGATGGTCCCTCTCTGATTTTAATTACTTTGCCTCTGCTTCCTTTGCTAAATTTTCTCTCTAGGTTAAAAAAAAAACCTTATGAGGAATTGATAATAATCACTAGATACCTCAGAAATCATCTCTCCTCAGCAGTCAGCATTGCCACTGTTTGCAGAACATATTGATGCTCTTTAGTGAAGGCACAGCAATTATCAATCTGCCTCGTACGATCGTTAAGAATCCCAGTGATATCTGCACCTTTGTGTAGCCTTTTAGACACATTCAGAGCAATAAGGGTGAGAAACAACCTTTAAAACAGACATCGAGAGTATGAAAAGTCCATTCCCATCGTGTTCCTTGGCTGCACTCGGAGGCTGGATGGCTCCCAGGGGAGATGGCAGGGCAGCAGCCTCTCCTCGAGCTGCAGAATGGGAAATCTCTTCTCAGATCTGTGCAGACACACAGGGAAATAAGTGCTGAATCCATCCTGCTTTCAGTGCAGGGCCAGTGTCAATAAAGCTGAGGCTGTGCAGGAAACCAGACAGTGTTGGGTGTAATAAATGTGACAAGTGGCACAGAGGCCATGAAAGAGCCTCAGTATTTACTGTGCCTGTCAAAAATCTGCTGATTTAAGGATGTAATATTTTCAGGCTTGATTTATGACTCCTCAGTGGAAAAAGGACAAGTCACAAACACAAAGAACCCAACCTAAAACTATAGAAAGGAGAATCAAGGTTGGGCTTAACCCATGGGAAGATGAACTCGGTGCTGGTTTTACCCTCTCCTGGTGAGATAAAACACAAAGCTGCTTAATGAGCCATAAAAGTGCTATAAATTCAAAGAAGCTTTGCTAAATCCAGTGAAATTTTCCAAAGTTCCTCTGCTATAATGAAAATGTGTTTTGACTCGTGGAAGGTCTGAAAATTGTGTTCTGTCAATGTATTTTCTTTAGGAATAAAACCCCACCACATATTCTAATGATTCCTCTACTAACCAAGTGAACTTTGTGTCAAACAAACCTCAGTGATAGGAAGAGACTCCCCAAGCCTCTAGTTCTGTGAACTGCACATCCTTAGCAAGAAATGGGAAAGATATCTTGATGATGGAACAATTTCCACTAGGAAATTGCTTTGAGATGCTCAAACTGGTAATGATTAAAGAGGATCGGGCAAGTTCATTAGTTCTTGCTGCTCCTAGGAAATCATTTTGTGGCAGCACCATCTTGTGGTTGGCTACAGGTCATCGAGCCTCATTTTACATTTCTGTCTCCTACAGACTTCTCATGGTGTGGAATCCTTCCAGTCACTGAAAACAACACCAGATCTGGGAAAGAGCAGGGGAAAGGATGGAGGGAAAGATCGAGGGAAGCATCGAAGGGAGGATCAGGGGAAGAATCAGGGGATGGATTGGGAGAAGGACCGCGGGAAGGATGGGGGAAGGATGCAGGAAAGGATGGGGAGAAGGACTGGGGGAAGGATGGAGAGAAGGATGGGGGAAAGGATGGAGGAAAGGATTGGGAGATGGACTGGGGGAAGGATGGAGGGAATAACCGTGTGAAGGATGGAAGGAATAATCGGAGGAAGGATGGAGGGAAGGATCGGGAGAAGGACCGAGGGAAGGATGGAGGGAAGGACCAGGGAAAGGATGGAGGGAAGGATGCAAGGAATGATTGGGGCAAGGATGGGGGGAAGGATGGAGGGAAGGGATGGAGGGAAGGATGGAGGGAAGAACCGGGGGAAGGATGGAAGGAATAATCGGAGGAAGGATGGAGGGAAGGATGGAGGAAAGGAT